CGCCATGGCTTCAATCCCCTCGCCCATAATACAGGCTTATGCTCTCTCCTTTACCTCCGTGGTAGCTGTATACACGGCTGCGTCGAATTTGCCCAAATTCCTACAGCAGGGGGGGAGGGGGAGGTGGACAGAGGTCTGCCCCGACAGTACGATCGTAGAAGTCGTGCGCCCCTCAGCAGGGGGGGGAGAGGGAGGGGGACAGAGGTCTGCCCCGACAGTACAATCGTAGAATTCGTGTGCTCCTGTGTAGGGGGTTGGGGGGGGAGAAGTTACTTCGCGTGGAAAGTTCAATGTTTTTGACACACAGGGAAAGGTGTAGAATTTCGTGTCTGACAACAATATATTTGTTTTACAGTGTTCATTTCAAATTTCGTGCACTCTGTTGGGCCGAAAGGTAACCGAGCGCATGCGCAAAAGGTCACAGAGCAAGAAGAAAGCAGTGCTACATAGTCGGTATGACAGATTTCCTAACCTGGCCATTCTACAATGTGCTTTTTGTTTCCTGCTTCTTGCTTTTTGTCTCTTGCCTTTTTACCTCTTTGTGCACTGTTTTACCGACAATCGTGTTTCTTGTCGCGTGTTTCTTGTCTTTTCAAAAGTTCGTCAACTTTTATCTCAGGAAACAGAAAACGATGAAACATCGCGTGGTACATATGCAATATGGTGGCATAGGTTAAGTACAAAGTGCGACATAATAAAAAAAATAGGATGTCGGATAAAGAAAATGAAGAAAATCAGATAGATGAAGTTTTTGGCGAATTGTTAGCTAATTTTGTGCGACAAAATCCTTGTCTTTACGATAAAAAATGCAAAGAATATAAAGACAAGAAGTTTGTTGCCGATACATGGATGTCTATCGCAAATAATTGTAATATGTCAGGTAGATAAATCAAATTTTTTTTAATGTTAAGATAAAAATTAAGATAATAAACTAATTTATACATATAATGCTTACTTATTTATGGATACTAGATAGTCATATAATTTTAGATAGGTTAGATTAGATTAAAGAGGTTAGTTCATTCTACTTTACAGTTGATACAGTGCAAAGACAATGGAAAACTCTTCGCAATCAATTCACTCGAGAACATCGTCTTATGATGACGTATGAGCCATCAGGTACAGGGAATGACACATCTAAAAGACCACGTAAGACATGGTACTTGTACGACTCCCTTTTCTTTTTGGCTTCACATGTGGCCCATCGTAATACATCTAGCAACTTTATACGAAGAAATACAATGATCAATCAATCATCTCCATCATCATCAAAGTCTGCACAATTAACATCTGTGCCGTTATCATCTGAATCGTTTAGCACTCTGTGGAATCCAGATATTATTACTGTTAGTGATGGCTCAAATGTTTCAACTCCATCAACAGAAAAATCAATGTCAGAAACATCAACAGCTTCAGCATCTTCATCAACTTCATTTAATCAATCAAGGTCGTTAGCTACTGCAAAGAGAAATTTAATTTCCCCACCACCCGATCAATCTGCAACTCGGAAGATGAAGGAATCTCAAAAAAACCAAGAACAGCTGTCTAAAATGATATGCAATACAACTGAGAATATAAGCAAGCTTATGCATAACTTAACAGAAAAACGCTCACAAGCTATCAGTGACGATGGAGAGGAAGCAGCAATGGCGAAAGCATTAATTTATGCATTAAAAAGAGTAAACTCCAAATACAAAATTCAATGTTACATGGAATGTTTATCTATTATTGATAAATATCACAACATGACAGCAGAGGAAACAATTCAAAATCTATAATTTCTTTCTAGCCATCGAAAAAGTACTTCTTTTTATGTAATTATGTTTTTATTACGTAGGTAAAAAATATTATTTTGTTTTGTACTCTAATATGTATTTACAATACAACGTTTAACCTGCATAACATATAATAAGTAGAAAAACATGTGATTTTGAAGTTACTATAACGTATTTTTTTGCGAGATATAATATATGACTGTTTTGATTATTAATAACATATTTTATTTTTTAAGAGTAAACTCCAAGTACAAAATCCATAACAATGTTATATAGATGGGATGTCTATTTTGGATAAGTACATAACATGACATCAGAGATTTAAAATCTATAATTTTTTTATAGCGATCTACAGTATTTTTTTTATATAATTATGCTTTGTTATGAAGGTTAAATATATATATAATTAAAGATATATAATTTTTTTAATGTTCTCTAAAGAATGCTTGTATGATAAAATCTTTAATCTGCATAATATAATAAGAAAAATATGTGATTTTTAGTCGCTACATTGTTTCGCGAGACGTAATGACTTCTTTAGTTGTTAATAATATATTTTATTTTCTATACACTTACATATATATAAGACCATGTTAATATTTCTAAGTTATAGTGATAACTTGTTTAATTTTTTATACAATGTTTATCCTTGGACAAGTGTTCCTGTTACATTAGTTATTAAGAAACGCAATGTATTTATGCCAAAATGTAATGTTCAGTATCTAAATAATTATTATTTTTTTATATTAAAACTATATTTTGTAAACAAAAAATAAAAAAGATTAATAAATACACAAAATACTGTATTTTCATAACTTTTGCAAAAACCTTATCCATACTGTTTCATTCAATTTATTGTCAATTAATCGTTTTGTCTATACTCTCCGTAAAATTATCGAACATATAAAATAGTATTCAGTAAAGATATGGAATTACATATATAAGTCTATCATTATTGGGGATTAATATTATCTCAATGCTAGTTCCCATTGCCAATTTAGCTGGCCAATGTCCGAGTAAAAGTAATCTTTGAGAATATTCCTCTGAGCGTCTGCTCTAACAGTAGGATTGTTAGATCCAAGTCGACCGATATCAGTGATCGGTCCCCTGTAAATTCCTCTTCTCCTCCAGTCACCTTCGATGACACACCCATCTATTCCTTCTCTATCCACCATAGGTGCAGGGCAGTAGGTCCTGTCCGATAATGTTATATCATCTTCAGATATCATCAAAAAATTATGAAGGCACACAATTGCTTTGACAATGTCTTCTACTATTTCTGGTGCACAGCACAGATCCCTTCTCAGTATACGCCACCTTGATGTCATAATCCCAAACGTATTTTCGATGACGCGTCTAGCACGACTAAGTCGATAATTGAATATTCTTTCTTCATTACCAAAAGTTCTGTGAGTTCTGGCATATGGACGCATGATATGGGTGCCAAGTGGGAATGCTTCATCAGCGACAAAAGTGAAGGGGAGAATGACATCACTGCCAGGAATCTCTTTTGGTAAAGGAAAATCAATTTCACCTATATCAATAGCTTGGCCGAAAGCACTGTTTGCCCATACACCACCATCACTTTGAGATCCTGTAAGTGTAAGAGACGTGGAAGAGGAAAGTTTACGTAGGTGTATATAATGCAAACTAGTATCTTGGTGATTGTTATACAGGTACTTACCATAATCGCCAATATCCACCCACGTGAAGCGGTATTTAGCATCACAAGCAGCCATAAGGATTATAGAAAATCTTTTTTGTATGAACTGTAAAACTGAGAGCCAGTATTTGGAGGACACTGTATTGATATGTGTTTGCCGTCAATGGCTCCAACACAGTTGGGAAATTGCCATCGATTTAAAAAATCTTCAGATATCTGGGTCATAGACTCTCTTGTTGGAACCTGTAGATATATCGGTTGAAGAGCTATCCACAAAGCCTTGCAGGTTTCTTTAAATACTTTGTGTGTAGTAGAATGTCCAATTCTATAATTCCATGAAGAAGATCTTATTGATGTGCCTCGTGCTAGAATTCTTTAAAAAGTAACATGCTCAGCGATACAAACACCTTAACATTAGTAATATGCAGAAGTAAAAAATGTACTTACTCAAGAGTGATGGCCATGCGTAACTCTACAGACAATGGTGTTCTGATGCTTCTCTTAGATAAATATGGTCTCACCAAATCACAAATATAATAAAATTGCTGCACATTCATGCGTGTATAATCGAAGAATTCTTCGTGATCTGTAACTTGCATTTCTCTGAACAAGTTCTTAAAGATTCCCTGAGTTTCTCGAGGATAATTAATTGGACGCACCCACCAACGCCTAATCCTTCTTTCTTTAGATTGCATTTTTGTGAGCAAAAGCATTAGCATAAGACTCCAACATTGGATGCCAATTAAAATAGTCAACAAGTCTTCATCCATCTTTATTTTACAAGCATTAAAAAACAATGTGTAAAAATAATTACATAATCTATAAAATAATAATACCGCTGAATGATTAAGGGGTGACCCTACACAATAAATAATACACTGATCAGTAAATACATGTGGTACAACACTAGAGACGAGATTTATGAAGTAATAGAAGTACCTAACCTAATGATCTCTCTTGCCTTACATCATGGTTCATACATTAATCAGATTATCTACGTAACAATTAGTCTAAACATCGTTAACCAATAAGAATATTGTAGTGACATGAGAATGGACTTTAAATACTGTTCTGTGATTGGACTAAGTGAAGCAACATTTTTCTTCGGCAATTCAGAAAAGACAAATTGTATATGACGTGTTTCTCGGCTCCGTGCGACAAGAACACAAGAAACAAGAAAACAAGAAGCAGAAAGCAAGAAACAGGAAACAAAAAGCACATTGTAGAATGGCCAGAATAGTCGTCAACTTTAACGTTAAATATCTCGGTTCGTAGAGCAGAGCGACACTTATTTCTTCAAAATTCTTTCGTTTTACACAAAAACGCGTTGAATGAGCCTAATTTGATCGAAATCGGAGGTGGTGGGTGTATTCTGTATAAATACCATGTGGTTTTGTATTATTGTTGTTAATATAATTTGGCATAACCTAAAATATAATAATAAATTTGAATAAAAATATCGCTTTCTTCTTAATCTTGTAAAATGTATGAAATATGTATAGTAATCCTTTTACATTTATATTTCAGTTAATATGTTACGAGTGTAACAAAAAAATAGAACAAGATGCAATTTTTCTCACATTTGCTTCGCAGATATAGAAAATGTATATTTTTCAGAACAATATGTAATGAAGAGTGGTATGAGTTTATCTATTTTTTAATATAATTCTTAGCATGCTTATTAAAATTAAATAATAAAAAAGTAATACGTATTGTGGTGCTGAAACTGGTGCGTTCAATTCGTATACTGTTCTTTGTTACGTTGTTGTAAACCTGAGGAAACTCAAGTAATTTACTTATCATTCATTAGATATGCATGTCTGTGAAGTTGTAAAAAATTTTGAAGTTTTCCCTACGAAAAAAGTTACAAATTTTTTATCTAGTGTCCTATAAGGACTCTATACCAGCTTTGTATGCTAGTTTCAGCTTCATATATGTAATATGTATTATATTAAAATAAAACTGATTGGTTTTCTTTTTATTTTATCACATGTATAGCAATGCTTTGCGACAATAATATTTCTCAGACTGCAGCTGAGAATAAAAATAAACACGATAACACTTCAGCTGATGAGGATGACGAATTACCCGATAATATTGATTTATCTTCAAAGTCTGTACTCTGGAACAGTAAAGCGGTTAAATGCCTACTAAGTTTGTATCCAAAGTATAAAAATCTGCTTGATAAGCGCAAAATTATTTCCAAAAAGATGATGTACGCATGCATTTATAAAGAAATGTGTAAATACGGATGCACATTTACAAGCATGCAAATTGAAAATAAAATGAAAGCATTCGAAAAAGCATACAAAAAAAATTACTAAATAAAGGTCCAAAGAAAAGTGGAAGAGGAAGAATGTGCCTTGAATTTGAAAAGTATGTATATGCATATACACATATATAAATATTTACTGCAATTGTTTATTAATTCTGTATGTATATGGTATATATTTATAATTAATATATGGTATATACATATTATAATT